AAAACACTTTTGACTATTAATTTCCCAAAGTATGGACCTTGGTCAATATCCTACATTGCCTCTTAATAGTTGTTTGATCATTATTATTCAAAAAGGAGTTCCTCTTCTTTGGTCTCTAGACTCTCTTGGATTTCCCACAAATTTCCAGAAGATGAATTTCATATTCAATTTATTCCCTCCTATTGTTTCAAGAGGTGTCTGTTGTCTATAATGCATAGTTACTGATCATGTCTAACATGAACTGTGGACTACTACTGCGAGAGAATTTCCCTTTTAGATAATCACAAAATTTAATGATCAAATATTCCCCTCCTTGATTTAATTGCAGTCTTACAATACGATGAAGACCGCTTTGTTTATCCATTTCACATCTAAATCCTTTGAACTTTATAAAGGCTCCAGATTATGCCTCAGGTATATACATAATCATACCTAAAGAAGTAAATGTTATAAAGCAGTGACAATTTCTTATTAACACTTAATGGTTCATAAATGTCAGTATGAATTAAATCCAACCGACCTTAGTTCTCTCCACTTGTCCAATAAATGTTGATTGTGTCACTTTTCCTTTAAGACATGTGCCCGTCATGTAGGCAAATTATCTTCTCTCTTATAGTCGAATTTTATTCTCAACTTGTGAATGCTTTTCCAGAAACATGACTAATTTAACATGCCAAAGTGTAAATGATTTATGATAGGACTGAACTTTTAGGTGTAATAGTGTATGAAAAATTAGTCAGATAACTGAAATATATAAACCTCTATAAAACATTCCCTATCCATTTTCAATAACAAACCTAAAAAACATTCCCTATCCAAAACTTGACTAGAGATATGGTAGTAATATCGGTAATATATAATGACAATTGTTCAAACACAAATTGAAATTATTATTAAAATTTTGATTAGTACTTATAGCTAATACAAAGTGTAAATGACTTGTGATTAGGATTGAATTATGAGGTATAATAGTGTGTGAAAAAATTCATTACAATTGAATATATAAACCTATAAAATATTCTCTATTCATTTTCAACAACAAACCTAAAACATTCTCTATCCAAAACCTCTGAATAAAGATAATATTGTTGATAATATCTGTAATATATAATGATAATTGTCTAAACACTAACTGAAATTATTATTATTCCGATTGCATTCCTGATAGCCAATGCAACAATTCTTGCTCTATTGTACGTCTTAAGTATTGTTTTTCCTACTATCCAACTTCTTGCTTCTTTCATTATTTACAAATCATTGCAAATTTGTGAGCACAACCTGCATCAAGTACACAAAAAGCATCATTAACTTCAACAAAAAAATATTATTGAATGCTATAGTGTTGAAATATCTTGTAAGATATTCCTTTTGATTCCTACTTTAGTTACCACAATTAAAGCACTCATCATTGGTATGAGAATTATCCTTTTTTCCTTGTCCTTCGCCTCCTTGTTCTTGGGCTTTAATGAACAACAACAACAACAACATAGCCTTTAATCCCAAGCAAGTCGAGGTAGGCTAGAGATGAAACCCAAGAGAAACACACAAAGACTCGAACCGAAAGGAAGAGATCGAAAAAAAAAGGCTTTAATGAACAACCCTTTAAAAAAAAAAAGGGTTGTTCATTAAAAGGCTTTAATGAACAACCCTTTTACATTATTTTATTAGACTTTACAACCTTTGACCTAGAGTGGATCCAAATACCAGCACAAATACTCCTACATTCAATCGTCTTGAACATGCTCATCAACTAAGGGACAGACGTTTCATGTGATGCATTTTAAGTTGACAACAAAGGTGTATAGAGCAAGAAAGATTGCAACTAAAGGTTCACATATGTCTACAAAGGTGTATAGAGCAAGGAAGATTGCAACTAAAGGTCCACATATGTATAAAAGCATGGGCTAGACTTTTTAAGGATGACTGTTAATCAAGTAATTATAATAATTTTATAGTTGATATTCAAAAATATTTATTCCGAATTAAATTTAATTAAATAATAAAGTTATCTAATTAAGCATTTAATTCACCAATGAACTTTCAATTTAATTCATCACTGAAATATCAAATTTACAATAGAAGTGGATGTATAACTCATTTATAATTTAATATTAATTAATCAAATTTATATATAGAATTAGCTCATTAATTCATGAACCCTTAAATCAAGGTAGTATAATTTGTCAAGTAAAAATATGAGCACAACTCTTCAATTGTAAATGTATGCATGTAATTCTTTTTTACAACTAATTTGTCGATTAAATTTTCAGTATATTTTATAAGTCGGAACTCAATTGATTTAAATAAGTTATTCAATTATGAATCTAGATTATCTATTTTCCTTGGCCAATGCACTTTATTAGATTACAAACCATAAAACATATAAGTTTGTTCAATGATTGTATTCCTCAATAAACATCTTGATATATGTATTGCGTCTAAACGCAACGAAACGCAACATCATCATCCAGCGACAATGAATATGAGAATGCATCATATACAGAAGTCTCGAAATACTCCTTAACATGGAATTTGTTCCATGATTGTTATCAAATGCATGCAATATGACTTTTTGCGAATAATGACGATCTAAGAGCTTTATTGCATGCGCAGATATAAACACTGAGACACTGTATTTTCAATAAATTGTTTTTAAAATGTGAAAAATGATCTAATCGGATTGAAATACATTCTACTCTAGCATCTTGTAAGTCATAAAATAATATCTTGGTATTTGGTTAGTCACGATAAATTTTGAAATATATGTGTGTGCAGGTCCCAACCGATAAACCTTGTTTCCCTAAAGTTGAAGATTGGGCTTCTTCCAAAATGGAGGGTATTGATTCAAGGCCTCCTTGGAGGGTTTCAGTAAAGACACAAGGGCTGAACGATGGAATGAAACATGGTCGGGCAGGAAAATATATTCTGAAAAATACTAAAGAAAATGCTTCTCCAAATATTCCGCTTGTTTGAACCATTTCAGCACTTCGCATTTATAAAGATACGGGGAAAAAATAGACAAGGTAATCTCTCGAAATTGAGTGTAAACAATCAAACCTATGGTTGTGTAATGACTAGTTATTGCTAGGTGGTACAATTT